TGCTATATCCTATATTTTACCACTTTTACTATCTATTTTACTATGATTTTATATACTTTAATAAAGCCTTTCGACCAAAAGAGGTAGTTTTCTCGTATAAATGGATTTTAAGATCTTAAAAGGTTTAATCATCAAAATAATGCAAAAAGGAGCAAAAGGGATATTATCTATGATACAGCTACTTATTCAAGTCAAATGAGCCAAGCCAAGTCATTATATCTTGAAGATAAAGCATATTCTCAAGTTGGATAGAACATATATGCCAGAAGTTCACTGATGAACGAAGGACCAAATCAAGTTGGAATCAAATGAAACTCGGTAGAAATATAGCCCTTTGAGTTATATTTCCAATGAAATTTGAACGACACCATTTGGAGCTGTACTTTAGAAGATACACTGGAAACACTAAAGACATGTCAAACTGCCTTAGAAGTGAAGCATGTGCAGAAATGAGCCAAGCACCAGGCCGCTCCGTGGGCCGATGATCCAGGCCATTGCCGACATTCTAGAAGCTTCAAGGAAGACCTCAAAACCGGTCACGCACCTGACCGTTGCTTGGACCGGTGGTTGAGCAGTTTTGACGTAATAGACTCTTTTGTCCGAAGATAACCCTAGCCGACTTAGGACCTCTTAAACCCCTATATATACTTGGTTTTAGCCTCCCTAGGAAGTAAGAGCAGCCGGCCAAATAGCCTAAATCAATACCTAAACATGTATTTCGTTTATCTCTTGTTCTTAATGCATCTTTGATTCTAAAAGCCTTTAAGGGTAGTTCGACTTTGTCCTATTGCAAAGAGATGAGATCTAATCCCTTACGCTTTGTAGATCAACGATTTATACTATGTTTATTTGTTTTACTCTTGCTGCTCCTTGTTGTAAAACATGTAGAGTATTAGCCTTGATTTGATTTCTATGCATTTTCTTATTTTTATGTTATTACATAATTGAACGTTTAAGGTTTTATTCTAGAATTGATTCTTCATCTCTATTTACACTCAAAGCATGATCTGGCTTAGCTGCCCAGTGACTGATAATAGGTTGATATACTCTTCAAAATCTTGTTATATATCCGGACCTAGTATTTGATGAGCTAAGCATTTTAACAATTTGATAGGTTAGTTAAGGAGTTTAGTGAGCTATTGAATCTTACACTTTACGTGTGTCTTTACCTTGTAATAACCATACGATAGTTGACTCTATTAGGGAAGAAGACATAGAAGTTTGATCCACGACAGTGGTATGATTTTACCTTAGTGATTTGAGTTCTAGAACAACTAGTACTAAAATCCCTAAATCGTTTGCGTGTGTTTTGCATATGTCTTGAGAATTGCTTGATTTTTATCTTGATTGAACTATCTATCCTTTACTTTATTGCTTTGTTGTTTGCTTCCATAAACCCTAAAAACTAAATAATATATTCATCTAGCTTAATTTGCATCACATAGATTTGTAGCGCATCATCACTTAGTCCTCAGTGGATCGACTCCTAAGTACTACAATTGTCATTGTTGTGCACTTGCAATTTCCTAGGGTTATAAATTTAAAAAAGCTTGCATATGCATCTAAACCCTGCACACATCAGAGGCCCTATACTCAATTCCTTCGTTTTCTTCCCTATTGCTTGAAATCTTCCTCACTAATTCCACCAATTTTGTGAAGGTAAATTGTAATTTTTGATTCTATTTCTTTATACATTGGTCGTTTTTTTGTGTTGATTTGCTTAAATCTCTTGGTCTCTCGCCTTGGTTTTCGATTTGGATTTGATGGACTGTGTTATGTTTCCTTGATTATATGGTTTTCATGAGTGTCTTTTTTGGCTAAAATGAGTTTCGCTATTTATCATTCATTCTCATTTTTGGTTATTTTTCCTTGATTATATGGTTTCGATGATATGTTTTATGGGAATTTTGTTTGATTCTTCTAGTCAAGGATTATATAGTTGACGGGTTCTAAGTTTAAGTTCTAACTAAAGTGAAGTTAATCTGTAAATCCAAGTGACTATTTTCTAGACGAGTTTTCATTCATTTTGTAATTTTGTGGGCTTTAATTTCTTTTCATGCACATGATCACATTGACACACAATGCGTGCTGCTTTTCTAACATCATTGTTTTTGGTGTATGGCTAAGTCATCCAGGAATATACTTTCCACAATGTTTAAAGAGCACATTCTTTTATTATTTTTGTACTAAGGTTTTATAGTTTTGAACGGTTGATAATGCTTTTCTAACTTAAGATTTTATATTTGTGATTTGAAATCAGATTGAGGTACTATCCGATTACTTCTCATATATTTTATTTTTTAGTCTTTCCCTCACGTTTAAGGCTAGTAAAGGTAAATTTTAATTTTCGATTCTATCTCTTTGTACTTTGGTCGAATTTTGTGTTCTTTTTATTAAATCTCTTCAATTTTGAATTTCTCTTCTCATCAGTCAGTGAGATGATGACCCAAGTTTTTTTCGTGGTGCACATTTATACTCGAGTTTACTTGTGGCATATTTCAACATAGACTCAAAAATAATTCAAATTTTGAACTAATGTTCGTTGTGCCACAATCTATATTGACCAGAACATCGTTAGTAACATTAACGGTTTGCTAAGTTGGAAGATACGCTGGCAACAAAAAGAAAAACGCACATTTCATCTATCTTTTTATTAATGAAAATTTTCATTCTTTTATATATATTTAAAAAATTGTTTCATAAACTCTACTTTTTTTTGTAAAATAAACAATTTGGGTATAAACGGAACGTTTAAAATAGTTGAAGTTGATAATGGATATTTTTTTATTATTCTAGGTCCACACAATTAGTTAGCTTGCCAACATGTCGTCCAACTCAACAAACTGTTAACGTTGACTTACGGTATTCAGATTAATATAGATTTTGCCACAATGAACATTAGATCAGGTATGAAATTTAAATTATTTTGGGTTTAAGCCACAAGTAAAACCTCGAGTATGGAAGTCCACGATGAAAAAAAACTCAGGTTAAATTGATTGTTTTCCGCATATATATAATTTATTTCTACATCAATACTAACAATTTTCTCTAAATATTTGAAAAAAAAATTGTGAAACAAGAATAAAGATTTTTTTCATGTAAATTATAAATTGTTAAATTACTATGCATGGCATAAAAAGTATGGACATGAAACCTTTTGTTTGGTTTCCATATGAACTTAGCGTGCAATTTAATTTACTGCATTTTTAAGATTATTTCATTTAATATTTATTTTTAGCAGCAAAATCTATTTTACATTCAAGTCATCAAGTGTAACGTTTGATGGTCATACAATCACCCAAAACCTGGGCCGGCGACAGCTTCTTTGGGAACATGGGATGGGCTTCTCAATGCACTAATCTTATTCTATGCTTATTAACAATGTTTTAAAAAGCGTTTTAAACGTCTGTCTAGACGGTGCTTAGGCGCTAGACCTCTATAGACCGTAGAAAATACCGTTTTTGCCGCCTAAAATATTATAATATTATAATAATAAAATAATATAAATTTTTTTACATATAAATCGTAATATTCTCTATATTCTGTTATAAAGTGATAAATATAAATACAATATAAATTTTATTATTTATAAATTATGACTTTTTATATATTTTACTCTATATCTACTATAATATGTATTTTTGTAAAACGCTTAGAACGCCTATTAAATTCTCTAGGTTTCGATTAGGCGTTCTAGGCATTAGGCATTCGCTCACTAGTGAAATAATTAGGTCAATAAGTAAATAAGTCATTATTATTTCTAATCTCCTCCTAAACCATTAAACAGCAAGTTAGAGAAAGAAACTGAACAAAATTCATGTAACAAAAGGAAAAAAAAAAACATAGTCGACCTGACTTCTTTTCTGTAAAGTGATTTCTGCTCCAGTTTGTACTATATTAAATTTGACTTGGCCAACTAGTATTATCATTAATGACTAATCAAAGTTTATACAATATTAAATTTGACTTAGAGAACTAGTATTTAAGAAATCAGAAACCAAACTTAACCCGGATTGTGATCACATGATTCATTACACCAAATCAGAAGGAAAGAGGCGAATAAAATGGCAGAGTACTTGGTTACGGGAGGAACAAGCTTTATAGCCTCTCATGTTATCAATGCACCGTTAGAAACTCAGGTAACCAAAAAGATTCATCCAACAGTTTTTGTTACATATTATATGTTTCATATTATTCCATTTTTATCCTTTGAAGATGAAGAGAAGGTAAAATTTTTGTGGGAGTTGAAGGAGCAAAAGAAAGATTGAAGATTTTTGAAGCCGATCTACCGGTCGAGGGAAGCTTTGACGAGGCAGTCACGGTGTCGATGGAGTCTTCCACATCGCCTCGCGGTTTTCTGTTATTCAGGATGGCAACAATCGGGTAACTAAACACATTTTACGCTTATTATCGGCTTCACGGTGTACGAATCATATTCGTACTTTAACGGTCCATACTACTTGGTCTGCAAGATACATTCCATTTTGCTTTCTAAGTTATCTCTACTATAAAATGGCTGATGTTTTAGATGATTTTCTTCCTCAAGACAAGATGATCGATCCCGATATAAGTGGAACAAGGAATTTAATGAACTCTTGTGAAAAATCAAGAAACACTGTGAAAAGGATTGTTCTCACATCTTCTTCAACCTCAATCTGGTACCGTTTTAACGCCACACAAGTCTCTCCACTAAACGAATCGGATTGGAGTGATCTCGAGTACTGCAAACGCTTCAAAGTGAGAGAAACATTCCTCAATGTTACATCCATTTTAGCCTAATCCATTGTCTGATGATTGATGAATGTCTGAAAATATATGTAGATCTGGTATGGTTATGCAAAGACATTAGTGGAGAAAGAAGCTTGGATGATTGCAGCCGAGAAGAAGCTAAACCTAGTGGTGGTAATCCCTTCGTTTACCATCGGTCAAATACTTAGAGGTTGATTGGTTCACCCGCTATCACTCGCAAACGCTACGTTTGCGGGTGATAACGGTTGTTAGCGTTTGATAACAATCATGGAAAACGCTTTATACCGCTTTGTATCGCTCCAAACCTCTTAAATCCAAAAGTTGCTTCCCTCGAGCGTTTGCGGTTGCAGTTGATAATTAAAAAACAAAATTTATCAAAAAATAAAAAAAATTACTTAAATTCAAAATAAATATAATAAATTAAAAATTGATTTTTAATAACTATAATTACGAAATATATCAACAATTTGAAACTTTCTAATTAAAATTTAATAACCTATCAGAATTTTATATTTATAAAATCTTGAAATTGTAATTTTTTAGATAAATTTTTCTTGATCACTGATTAATAAATCTAACAAATTAAAATGTTCAAAATCACATTAACCTCTCTAAAATAAAAAAAATTATCTACAAAAATTACAATTTTCATCTTTTTTTCTAGTCACAATCATAACTTTCGTCTAAACTAAAAATTTTTAAAAATACACATAAAAATATACTCATGGTA